GGGGGGGGGGGGGGGGGGGGGGGGGGGGGGGGTGCTTATTCCTCTTGAGTCAGAGCTGGTATGATGACACTTACATGGTGTATGAATGACGGTGCAGCACACTCACACATTACTAGTTTCCAGTGGCTGTGAAGCGGACAGATACTGTGTGTTGAAGGGAAGAGGACAGACTGAAGAAGCCTTGAGTTGGAGTTCTTTTTATTCTGAGTGGACCGCAGACACACAGTAGGCACCTTCCAATGTTTTCTCCTGTGTGCGCTGATGTGTGTGTGTGTGTGTGTGTGTGTGTGTGTGATTAATTGTTCTGTCAGTACTTTGCAGTCTTGTACAGCCTGTGTAACGAGTTTCACTTCACCAGTTTACTGTGAGGGCTTAAATTCAAATTAGCTTTATTTGCAAGTATGCGACCACTGTTAGAAAAACAAGTGTATGGAACACAGAAAGGTACTGTAGCACTTTCTCATAAGGCACCTTTTATAAAGAACTAAGGTTTATAACAAATGGCTTTATTATTTATTTATTGTAAGCCATGAATAGCACTTTTGGTTTGATTGTTCAGCCTCTTGCAGGATAACACTTTGTCTGTTTATTAACACCCACACCTGCTTGATGACATTTTGTAAGAAAGTTTTAAGGACTCTAATCGACTTTTATAACAGTAGATGACGTATTCTGTTTTTCTGTTGACTTATTATAAAATAATATTTTAGTTATTTATTAATAATGTATTAATAACTTGTGACAATTTATTAATAACTAACTAACAGTGTGTTAGTGTGTCATTACATTATTATATATAATAATTTAGAGTTACTTACACTTGGCGGGCGTGGTCTCGGTGGGGCGGGAGGATGAAGTCCGGGGAGGGAGACGAACGGCTCGGTTCACCAGTAACAACGGATCATCCCTGAACCCCAGTTGTCTCCGATGTAAATTGGTGAAACTACCAGGTGTAAAATGATCACAGCAGGGGTGTTGGTGTTGATCCTCACCTCTCCATCAACGTAGCTGTTCACAAAATTGGTCCAACTCTTCCTCAGAGCATCCTCCTTCGGAAAATGAAATAAAGTGACCGAGCTGCTCTGCAGAGAACCACCGATGATACTACTACAGCGTGGGTGGCTCCAGTGCGTCATCGAGCGATACTTTTCGCCCCGCCCAAAAGACCCTGAACCCAAAAAACGTTCAAACTCAACAACTCAGTACCACATAGTTTCCAGTCTTTTATAATGTTTTTAACAGCTATTTTATGACAAAATGTGTTTATAGAGAAATCACTGGATTTGCTTTACACGGACAGTGTGTAACATTTAGGAGGCTCTATTGGCAGAAATGGAGTATAATATTCAAAATGCTCCAAATATGAGTAACCTAACATTGTCTATAAAGTAAAGGAATAAGACTTTTACTTCTTTCCCCGGGGTCGCCCACAATAGGTCCTCCTGCTTCGCAACTCTCTGTAAGCTACGCCTCAGTTAGCAAGACAGCTAGCTTGGTTGCAATAAGTTCACAGTTTATTCAAGAAACAAATTTGTACAATCAACCCCTGTCTCATAACCCTCTGTAAACCATTCTTTTGTGAAGCAGCCTATACTCATACTATAGGAGGGTTAAGTAAATGTGAATGGTGCGACACAGCTAGTAAGTTACATTAGCTTCCTTAGCTTCGGACTCTTCAACTCTCAGTTCCCTGTGTAAACGAACGTATACAATGTGTGTCAATTTGACCAAAATTGAACTCAAAATTAAAATGAATTGATTTTACCCCTCAAATTTCACTTCAGCTCTTTATTCTGTGGTTATTCCCTCTCTCTTCCTCTCTCACACACACACACAGACACACACACACACACACACAAACTCTATACAGCCTAATGGCGGCAGTCTGATTAAGCTGGTCGTTCCACCTCCCGCTAGTGCCACAGTGCTGACATTTGAAAAATCAAGACATATCACATCCCAAAGGCGGCAGGGCAGAAGAGATTTTATTTTAACACATAAACTCCCTTGCCCAATGAGGCACAATATAATAACACTTACCTTGATTAAAAGAACCCTTTATATGTAAATGGAGACTGGATTTTCCAAAGGGTCACAGCGGCAATTCTGCCGACAGAGATCATTTCACCCCTCTAGTCCTTGCTTCCTCTCTCTCTCTATCTTCCTCTGTTTCTCTCTGTCTCTCGCTCGTACTCTCTCATCCCCTCCTGTCTTTGCTAATGGCAGCAGAAAAAAAAAATCAGGAAGCAATGTTCCCTAAAACAGCCACACAGAGACAACATTTGCTCAGGTTGGCTAATTCTTAATATAGGGCTCTATAATTTTGAGACTATTTAATTACGTAACATACTTTATGCTTCATGACCAATTACATTAATAGCTTAATACAGAGGAATATTATCCTCTCTTGATTTGATTACACAGCCACACAATATGGTATATTTGGTACTTAATTATGGCCAGCCATTGAGCAGGACTGCTGTGCCATAACAGAGAGTGCAGCACAGCCAGCAAGGGAGGCAGGCATGTAGAGATGGAGAGAGAGGCCCAGTCTGTCTGTCCTCAGTTATTGTCTTCAGATGGTTTTACCACTCTTGTTAATAAAGGAGGGGGGTCTCAGATCTACTTAACGGAATGACTGCAGCTTACAAGACTGGAGATTACCAGCTTACAGTGTCAAAAACATCTGCTGGGCCTTTTAACAGGAGCTGCTCTAGGTTATATGGAGGTGAGGGCACCCATCATACCCCAACACCCCAAATGATTTATTTATTTTATGACCCCAGTAGTGAGGTTTTAAGAGACCTGCTCTGACAAACATGTGCATTTCAAATGAACTGACATGGAAGGGGAGTATTAGAAAATGGCACAGCTTTCAACCAATGAGACTGGTCATTAATCTTGGCCTTTGCTGTCCCTCTTTTCCTCTCTCCTTTCTGTCCTCCTCCTCCTCTTCCCCTCACCGGGGCCCTCCAGTGTAATTTCTTAATTGCAGTGTACTAAGGTGGAGGAATGCAGAGAGTGAGCATGCCTAGTGACCTTGCAGCGACCTCTCCCCTCCTATTACAGCTTCTAATCCCCCAGGGGTTCACATTACAAAGCAGGTCGGCCCAGACCCAATCCCAGACCCAGGCCCCCTGGCTCCAGCGGGACCCCCTGCTCTCACTTCTCTCTCCCCATGGTCCAGGCCTCTGGACCAGCCATGTTCCCATACTCCAGTCCCTGGCTCCAGGAGCGCACCCCCCCCCAAACATCTTACCTTTTTTCTTTCTGGTTACAACTAACAGCCGTGTGAAAAGCCAAATAGTGGCACTGCTGAGCTAGCTCTCAGTCCTGGGTTCTGTCACAGTATGAGAGATGCCAGCATGCTGAGGTCTCTACACATATGAAGCAGTGTCTACCTTAAGGGACATCATGCCCCACCTGCTCTTCCTTTCTTTTATCTCTTTTTTACTTCCTTTTATCTTTGCTGCTCTCTTTCTATACTTCCAAAACCCACTCTACATGCAGCTAAGAACACTACTTTGTTTTGCGTAAAAAATCCTTTCAATCAGGGGTAGAACCAAGCCTTTAATGCTCACTGTCTTGGTGATAAAACTAACAGAGTTCTAAATTATTTAATAACTTTCTTTAAGGGATTCTAAATCAAATATGTTCACAGAGGCAAATCCCCATGAGAGAGAGCGCGTGTTCGGTTTGTCACTAAAGTCAGCTGGGGAATTGACTGTTCCACTTGTAAAAGTATTAGCACTTCTCCACATCAATACGGCTGGTTGGTTTTTCCTCACATCCTCCAGGACTACAGTGTCTGTGGATGACTGAGGATCATTTTCCAACCTGAGACCTGACCACAACGCTATTGGGCATTGTAAACCACTCACCATAGCCTAAAATAGCCCAGTGCAATAATGTCTGTCTTTACTTGTTGAAGCTAAAAGCGCTGTACAATGTGATAAAAATCTGCTAAGCTCTTTGTTGTTTTTAAATTGAATTACGGCTTGTTAATGGTAGAGGGAGCATATCAAAGTGCATTGAGAAAATAGTTTTATTGACAGCGTAAATTCATTTCTCTCTTTCTTCTCTTTCTCTCAGGTCTGCCAGGCATGCCAGGGGAGTACGTACCTCAGAGCGGTCCTATGGGCATGAGCATGGCCCCGCATACTTACACCAACCCCCATCAGATGACCTCTCACCCTTCCCAGCTCCGACACGGACCCCCTCTCCATGCGTACCTGCCCGACCACCCCCACGCCCACCATCCTCACCACCACCCCCACCACCACGCCATGCTGATGCATGGAGGACCCTCGTCGCACCCAGGAATGACCATGTCTGCACAGAGACCCCCTTTGCTCACTCCCATTGACCCCAGTACTGGAGGACAAGGCCTGGACATCCATGCCCAATAGTATAAGGGAACTTTGCTACCACGACAACAGCAGCTACTACAAGAAAACAGTTTAAAAAAAAAGAAAGCAGCAGCCCACAATAAATCCTATTTTGAGACTATTTTTAAGAATAAAAAGCGAACCCTTTTGACCAGAATTTGACACTAAAGAAACAGAATTCCAGATGAGCTGTGATAATTCTTTTTTTTTTTTTTTTTAAGACTTGTCAATTTTGTTACTTTCATCCAAACGGAGGACCAAGCTGACAAGAACACTTTGTAAAGTCTTGGGCTTTTGGTAAAGATCAACAGAGGATGTTTTGACATACACGTGTGCAAAGAATGGACAGACGCACACACTCAAATACACACACTTTTCGCACACTCACTCACACACCGTCATAAACATGTTCAGTACACTTTCATGTGACGCTTCTAAAATAAAATCACTCTGGAAGATTTAAAAAAGAAACAACAGAAAGACTCCAAGAGTTATAACTACTGTAGTATAAAAAGTATAGATAAATAAGTTAAAACTTGTGCATTTTTCGTTGATCACATGGTTTATGTTTCCTGAGCTAGTTTTAGAATTAAAGGTTAACCTTTTCTCTCTCACACTGTGTGTGCTCCTTCCTGGAGGAGAAACTGTCTCGCAGCACAGCACTATAAAAGAAAAAAAAAACAATATAGGAAGATGGAACATCTCAAAAATTGGGCTCAAACCACAGGAGGCAATACAGGTTCCTGTCCCCCTATAAGAACAGGGCATGATGGGAACAAGGCTGCTAATGACACCGGATTTCTCTCCAGAAGATTCAGTTTTGAACATTTTGTCATGCCCCTCTTTTTGATTGGTTCATGACATGAATGTTGCCCTGTAGGTTTTAAAGGAAAAAAAAGTTCTTTGTTTGAATTGCCCAAGCACTGGATTGTGTTGGTTTTATACATTTTTATTTTAATATTATTTTATTTTTTTGTACCCTGGACTCTCATTGGTAAGAGCCTATTGAAGGAAGCTTAATAGTGGAAAAGCAACATCCTACGGCGCTTCTTTATCTGCGGATCAACACTCTTGCCATAAGGACAATACTGACACAAACGTTGATTCTGTGGCACTGGAGAAGCATT